GGACAGATACCCTTCGAGAAATAGCTCGCTTATCAAGATCACGTCTTAAAAGCTTGCAGCCTCACCACAAAATTGCACGAACTTCATGATTTCCTTTACGAAGCAGCTGTAAACATCGCCATGATAATGCAGACATATGCTACTCCATGCCATAGTTTCAAACTTGCTAATTACTTTGCATACATGTGTGATCGCCTACGACACCGCAGAGGTGTTGTTTTATATGTGAAGTACACCTAAATTTCTGTTTAATAAATACAGGCAATAGCAAAGACTTTGAGATGGTAAAGAAAAGATTGAGATGTTTTGAGATATGTGTCTGAACCTCTCTAAGCATAGAAAAGTCCCCTTGTGCTCAATTTACAACCCACTGGACGACAACTCAGGTAAGTACCAGGTACTAAATAAACTTGTAGAGTTTGTGCCTGTAAATGTAACTTGTAGCAAATCTCTGAGTAGACGTACAAGCAACTTATCACTATATCTAAAATGGAACAGAATTTAAGAAGGGCGTAAAAGACCCTTTTATTCAGAATTAAAAATAGTGTAACATATGGCACCTCTTGCGCTTACAAACCAGCCAGCATTTGTGGTGTAATTCAACAGCAACAAATTCAAATTAAAACTAAACTGATTTAGCCAAATGTACCCAGAACTGATTAACGCCCAAGTTTGCTCAAAACTATACCGTGTGATATGCCCTATTATCAAGAATGAAACAACACTGCTCACAGCCAGCTATCAAAGAATCGCAACTAGTACCGTGGCCTTCAGCAGGCGGAACACGCTCTGATTAAACAATCTAAAGCCTTCCTTCATATACTATCTATTTCTCCCTCATTTGAATACGACCGAAATAAAATTAACATGCTGGCAGGAAAACATAAAGGGAGAACGATAATAAAGCTATTTAACGCAAAATAACTGATTAGATAAAAGTTAATAAATCCTTACAAACTTTAGATAATCAATTTTCAACAATAATTGGAGGTGATTTCAACTCCAAGGGCAACTCCTCGATATGACCAGTCTTGTATGACCACATTACAGTCTTCAAATCTGAGTTCTTTGTTGTTGAGAGTAATCTCTTTTCAGCAAAATGGTAAATTGGCCTAATCATCGACCCGTGGCAAACTGACTTGATATCTACCACCATTAATTTTTCTCAAAGTCCTAGTAAATTGATCAAATGCAGCCATTTCCGATTCTACATTAGACTTGCTTTCAATGATATCAGTTATGTCTAAAGCATTCCACAAGTTTTCTAAATTATTACTGTGGATTTGCATACTATCAAAGATGAAGTACTTGACATGAAATGCAGTTGTTTATCTTTCCCATAACAATCCAACCGAGTAATGTCTGTACCGCAACGAGACCACATGACAAGTAGAAAAGTTCCCAGTATAAAGACATATAGCATAGTCAACTCAACTCAAAATTTCTACAGGTGGCAAGTCTTTTTTCAAACAGCACGGCAAGATCGCTGTCACATTGCAAAGATGTCATACTGTGACGATCTCAAAGTCACATTGCCGTTACAGGTATGGCTTTAATTTACGCTTTTTTATGACGTCACATGAATATATCATAATAAAGTGGCATGAATGTAATGCCCCTGAGATGTGAATAGCTATCGCGCAACATTACTTTAATTTTTAAATGACTAGTGTAATGTTGCAGTGTTCCCATTTTAGAGAACTCCTTCAGTAAAATATAACAGTGCTTGTTACAATAAGAAGTTATATTCTTCAAGGCATAATTCCGTAATATTCAAAATATTCCTTTGAAATTTTCTCATCATACTAAGGTTGTATCTCATCCTATGAAGGTTATATAATTGTGATCTATTTACGATTTGTTACATATCTGTGTAAAATATATCCCAACAGTACAGCGACGTCACTGCAAACGTGTAACTTGTAGGTATGGTACAATGCACAATTTTTTTGACGTTACATTGCAACGATTACTTGGATCCTCCAACAGGAACTTTCCGATATCCTTGAACTAACTAAGGAGTTGTTCTTTTAAGTTAGCTGTTGCAATTGTGACTTTTTGAAGTTCATTGACAGGATGCAACTCCAAGTGCTCCAGAAAGGTTAGAACTGAAACATTTCAAATTTCATTCTGAGTTTAGATTATTGAGTTCTCTTTATTTTTCTTTTACTTATTATTATTTTTCTATATATAATTTCTATCCATTTGCAGTGTTACTGCATATTTGTTTACTTATTTTGTTAGTGATATAACCTACTTGTGTAAGCCTCGTGATACACTTTTGTGGGACACGAGGAGTTAAAAACAAAGGCTGAATTTCGGAAAATGTGTATTATTCGCTTCTGAGAATATACCTTCATAGCATGCTCCGTAGAGCTTAAATGCTATTAGTAGTTCATCAATCAGTAAACTGAATGAAACTCAGTTCCTTATATGATAAACTTCATTCATAAGCTCCATATCTTAATCAATACATACCTAAGTTGTCTCATGCATTACGCCTGGTCTAATTTTCCTTCCCTAGTTCAGGGTTTCTTAAACTGTGGGTTGCCAAAAATTTTAGCAGTTTTGATATTTCATTAACTTATTATAATAATTTTACAATTAACAAATATTTTACACAATGTATCTGAAAATAGACAATACAGAAAAAGAAAAAAACGAAAACGTTTCGACGCATTTTTTTTATAATATAAACATTCATTTTCCTTGCTTTACATGTGACGCTATCATTTCGTCTGTAACTTATATAAAAATTTCACATTGTTCTTTGTATTAAAATTAGAAATTAAAGTTAATGACCTAAAACTGTATAGTATATTACACTACAAGTGAAAAAATTGACAGTTTCACTCACGTGTATGTTGGATTTGTGCAGTACTTATGGGGTCCTGGAGGCTGCAAAAAAATTTCAGTGATAAAAAGGGGTTGTGAGTGAAAAAAGTTTAAGAAACCCTGCCCTAGTTCATTAATCCAAGAAAGAGATCTGAGAATGTCAAATGACATTATCACTAGTTTTACAGACTTCTTTAGCCAGCACCCCCACATCTACAAGTCCAGGGTGTGTTGCTTTACCCCACAAGGGTATTAACGAACAGACGCTCGTCAATTAATAGTGCAGACAGGCAATACCAAAATAGTATGCAAAACTTCAGCCACTTTTCTGATTTTGGCTGGAATTCCGCAAAATATCAACTGGCAGACATGAAATTCATACTGCAGAGGAAAAATGTAGTACTTAGAAAAATACTTTATTGACAGAATGGCATTGGTACAAAAAACTGTCTGGCCAAGAGGAACAACAACAAACCAAAGAGTCATAGTGAGGAATATGACCTCTCCTAACTACAATGGTTATGCTGCACCATCTATAGATACTCAAAACTTAATTATCTAACAGTTCTTGGGGTAAGGGTTTACATTTTTCAGGGAGTATCTGTTTTAGTTATCTGGTGTTCTCCAGGTTTAAGATCGTGCTGTCAAGTGTCTTCCTAAAGTATTCCACACACATTCAATGGATTTAAATCAGGGAAGCATGTTGGCCAATCCATTCTGTGGATATCTTCACAAAGGGACCAATGCCAGCCAGGAAAAGACACGAGTGGGGGAAGATAATTTTCTAACACTAAATGATCCTCATGTGATTTCTGTAAGCGAGCCTCTGTCAAAAATGTGGAGCTCTATCCATCATGCCTTTTCATACAAGCGCACTAGGACCACCCCAATGGTCTCCTTCCCTGAGGTTAGTGAGATGAAAGCATGTCCTTGCATCTCTCTCTTTATCAACTGGTGCCAAGAATCATTATCAAAATGACTGAAATTGTGAAACGACTCTCATTAGTAAAGAAGACATGACTCCATTTATCTGCCTTTATGTTCTCTACACCACTGTAAACAGTGGCGCCAATGGGCAACTGTCTACAGTATGCAGTGTTTAGGTCAACAGGCGAATATGCCACCCTTATGAAATTATTTGGCTGCAGTAAACCAGGATATCTGTCGTCAAATTGCCATGTGCAACTGATGAGCCATGTTGCCCTCTATCAGGTTTTCATTTTTTTTCACCTGATATCAGTCATCAGTCACCATTATTTTCCTTGGAAGACCACCAACGGCTGAGTAGTAACATCGCTGAACACTGGTAGTTCGACCTGGGATCAAATGCTGGCGAACAGACTGACTGCATGGTTATTTTCATAGTTTTTCCCATGAGTAACATGAATAAAGACCAGTGTCCATCAAAAAGTCCTCCACGAAGGCCTTCCTCTTTATATGCAAATAGTCCTCAAATTGCCTGGCCTTAATCAATTAACCTGACCATCACCAACATTTCTTAGAGCTGTACTTGTTATTTAGAAGGCTTTCAAAGCTCATGAAACACATTTATCAGTTCCAAACTCTTGGGCGACAAACAACAAACTACTGCTCTCGACAAGCTCACCAATAATTCTACCATGCAGAAAGGCATCCTGTTTTCTTGTAGCAATACTGCACATACAATATTACTTTCACTTGCAAAAGAATGCCTGAAAATGCACCTTCTTTTCTTTTTAAGTTGCCTTGCACTGCCCCCCCAACATACCATCTGATGTCATGGTGCTGATATTCACATACGTATCACATTTTCTAACAAGCTATCTTTTTCATTGTATTGATCACAAAAAGCCCTTTTCAACAATTTCATTGTTGAATATTGAAAAATGAATTTGTTTAAGTTTTGCACATTAGTGTACTAAATGTCTTCTGGAGATGTGAAACATTAGCTTAAATTCCAAATTTTAAATATTCACAGCTTGGATACAGAATAAAAAACTTATACATTTAGTCACGACTTACTACTTGCCGTGAGGAGGTCCTTCATTCTCCTCCAATAGTTGTTATATAATCTATTCGTGCTTGTGTGTATGCCACAAAAAGTAACTATTTTTCTTAAAATTTATGCCCAAAAAAATTCTTAGAAATTGGATTGGTTGCTCATGTTAAATCAAAATGACATACACTAAAAGAGCATGAAATATTTATTTGAATTTGTGTAAAATCAAATTAATGGAAAAAAGGTTTGTGTAAAATTAGAACAGTGTATATGACCAACAAAGATTACAGGTTTCGTTTGGTTTATGTGTTTATGGCAAACCCTTGAAGGCTATCTGCCTAAGGGGAGGGATGCCTTCGTGGGGGACTTCCTAAGGCAAACTGGATCGTATACACTTTACACATGGGGAAAAAAAAAACATCTATGCAGCCAGCATTTTTGTAGGATTCAAACCATAGTAACAAAAGGATAACAAAAAAAGTTTTGCAAGCCATTTTACTAAGAAAACTGATCATTGATATGATTGACTGAAAAAAGAAATAGAAAAATTATGCAACACTTAAACGTTTCAGTACGGGTATGTTGTATACGTCATGGTAGCATTCAGTTTATCTATGGCAAGTGTGACGTCTGCATCTCAGAGGATTAGTGCTTGGCTAGACTGCTGTAATGTATACGTACGTGATAATCACATGGAACAAAATGTAAATATTTTTAATTCTAACAGATGCTGCTCTATGTCCATGGTACCAATATAAATGGAAATGATGATACCTGAACTTTGACACTGGACTGTTCCATTTGATTCTGAAAGGTAGACAGCAGGATTCAGTTGCATAAAGAAGCATGCGTTTTTGTTCATGTTTCTTTCGATTGGCTTTTTGAGGGAAGAGCATCTGGTGTAAGTGCAGGTTTTCATTTAGTTTCTTCTTTTTGTAAGTAGTGTAGGGTGTTTTTTCTTTTGTGTGAATGTAAGTTTTTAGGGGTTTTTTTGTGTTAAGATGTCAAAATGAAAGTGATATTTATCGAAAGCTGAGTATACAGCTTTATTACAAGTGATGTCAGCAGTTTTAGCAGTAATATTTTTTGCAGTTTTAGCAGTCTGATACAGATATTTTATCAGATTCAGAACTGCATTCTTTTGCCTTAACATCTGCTCCGCCTGTAAATGACAACTGCTCTCATACATTAAAAGATTTACAGCCGCAGTTGTGTGGACCTATGCTACAGAATATATCATACAGAAAACTAATTTTAAAATTCACTGTATGAATATATATATGTGTGTGTGCATATGTGCCTGTATAGATTTATTGCTTTACATTAAATATTTTAATTGTAGTTTAACAAATGCTGAATATTTGTTTTAAATTCTCTTTGATTGTCTATATATATATCATTACAGCTGCAAAATTTATACGTATTTAATTCTGTAACTCACCAAGCATAAAGATAAATGCATTTTCTAAAATATTTGAAAAAATTTAGTAAATACAAATAAAATTGTATTTTTGCCAATATTTTAGCAAAACTAGGCTTAGCTATCGAGCACCCACAGTCCTGTGGAGACATCACAGAAGACCAGCGCTCCGTCTCAACGAGAAGCTAGATTAGGCTGCCATCCGAAAAGGGTTGATACTGCACACACTTAAAACAGCATACATGTTGCTTAGAAAATTTAATTTTGTTGTTGACCAAGGTTCGAATTTCGTGGTTTTCCCCCATGTGTAACATGCATCGATCCAGTTTTCATTAGAAAGTCGTCCACAAAGGTATCCCTCCCTTTAGGCAGATAGTCCTCGAGTCCTTTGCTGTAATTAAGTACACCAATATTACAGGAGACATTAAAAAATATAATTTGACAAAGAAAATTAAATTCCTTATATCATTTGGAAATATTAAAATAAATAACTTACGTATGTTAAAAATTATAGTTTTCAACAGGAAGATTAATTTACTAAAATAATTTTTAGCAGCAACAAAATAGCTCATTATCAACTGACAAACACCAGAAATATAACATTTATAAGGAAAGTAAAAAAATGAACTTCTGACAACATTTTTTTAACACAGTCAAATTTTAAACTAAAAATATTTAATAAAATGGCAGAACTAAAATGCACACAACTGTATATAACTCTTCAATGACATTCATAAAATAATTTTATAAACAATTTGCTCATTAAAAAATTACAAATTTTGTAAGAAATGTTAAATTTTTAAAATCTTATTTATGAGTAATAAAATGTCATAAAATCAGCACAAATACTGTTTTATAAAAATAATCTCCATCTCCTTCTGACCTTGACATCAAACAATTTATAAAAGATACAAAAAAAACTCTGCTGAAAAATGTGCTCTTTCCATTAGGGAATTAAATTTCTAACAGCTTTATTTATAAGCAAATAAGTTACCTTTGAGATCTTAAAAAACTGTAATTTTTACAATGAAAATTAAAAATAAAATCCCCTGCAACTAAATATAAAAAGCCATATTTACAGATTTATATTTCACAAAATATGTTTATCATAAAATAATGAGTACTTTTTTTAAATTCAGAAAACAGTTTACAAATGCTGCAATAAATAACTGCTAAATAATTTGTACTTTTTTTAGGGAAAGCACAATAGTGCAAATCTATCTTCTCTGTCTTCTGTTCATATTTAATTAAATATGAAACATCATAAATGCAAATTTATATTTCATGCAATACATATATCATAAAATAATAAGTATCTTTTTTGAAATTCACTAAACAGTTTACTGAAGATACAACAAATAGCTTTGCACTTTTCATTAGGGAAATTAAATTTGTAAAATATTTCTTTATAAGCAAATAAAATAACTTTGAGATTTTAGAAACTAATTTTTACCAGGAAAATTAAATATAGAATTGAGCACAATTAAATATGAAACATCATATTTTAAAATTTATATTTCACATGTTAAGTAGATCATAAAATAACAAGTATCTTTTTTGAAATTCATCAAGCAATTTACAAACGGTGCAATAAATAACTTTGCTGAATAGTTCACACTTTAAATAATATAATAAAATGATAACTGCAGTATGTTAGAAATAAATATTTTTACAAGAGAAATTGAATACAGCTAAAAACAAAGTTTCATGTTTACAAATTTATATTTCACACAGTGCATCATAAAACAATAAGAACAAGATGCCTCTTAAAAAAAAAAAAAAAAAAAAAAAAAAAAAAAAAAAAAAAAGCAAAACATTACACTAAATTCAACACAGATAATGCAAGGTATTTTCAAAAATTTCATAGTCGAGGTATTTTTAAAACAAATGATTTTTTTTAAAGCAACACAAAACAGTACACTAAAATTAACACAGTTCATGCAATCTGTTAACAAAAAGTATCTTTTTATAGCATTAATTATTGAAATTTTACACATTTTCTACTCTTCTGTGAACCTAGAAATGTATATCAGGTTCTCTTTCTGTAATATAAACATGCTGACAGCATTTATATACACACTGCGAGTTAATGATTAGGTACAAGTCAATTCAAATGCAAATAAGTTATTGGTTTGTATTTACTTTTCAGATTCATTTCTTTTTCTTGCCTTTTACTGTTAGCCCTTTCAGTCCCAGTGATGCCTGATGCAATCATAACGTTTATTTTTTCTCCTTGTTTAAATCTCCCATTGTTTCCAAATGAACACTGTTATAATCTACAAACATTTTACCACTGAAATGGATCTTTCTATAGTGCAAATGGTTACACTATCCTTGTTGATAGCTGAAATGATGCTTGTTTAAAATTTTACTTTTTCCCTGATAAAGATGTCAAAATCAGTTTAATTTTTGAGGCAAATGAAATGAATTACAAGAATGAAATGAATTTTTATTTCAATTTCTAATATTTATTAAAGTAATTTTAACATTTTTAACAAATATTTCTTTCAAAATTTGGGTAACTGTATACATTTAAAAGTTTTCAAGTGGCATCAAGTGAGAGTTGAGTACAACTCAACAGCTTTAGGTTGCCATGTTCTTTACTTTTTATTTGTATCGTTATTACACAGTGTTTTCACACAGTATTTTGTTACCTTTAAAATACATTTTTGACTAAATATAGGCTTCATGATATTATGTGACACTTTTTTCAAAATATGCATTTCAAAGTGTAAATTAGAAATTTTATCAATTGATCAGGCAGTTTATTTGTTGTTGAGCGAAGATTTTTCAGATGTTCAAGTGCAAGATTCCAATGAGGAAATTAGTAGAAATGTTACAGGTTATTTATCTAAGGATAATGACATGCCGAATGGAGTTAATAATCAGATTTCATTGACTTGGAGTGGAATTTGGTCAACCATTTCATTTAACTATTTAGTATTTGGTTTTCGCTTACAAATATAAAAAATTGTTTTTAAGTTTTGATATTTATCAACATGTTCTATACTTTTTGTTTAATTAAAAAGTATATTAAAAATAATCCAAGTCTGAATAAATGCCTACAATACATAATGAAGGGGGGAATGCATGAGGCAAAAAATTTTGAGAACCCCCTGGTTTAGATTTTTAAATTTTTTTTGGGGGGGAGAGGGCTTTATACTCTTCTATTCTGAATGCAGAATGGGTATATTTCACAAATTTCAGATTCTTAGAATGAAAAACAAATATTTGTGAATAAAAGGGTTAAGGTAAGGATCAAGAAAACGTTCAGCCATGAGGACAAGCCTGAATCTGCGGCTGTAATAATAATAATTTAACAGTGTTTGATTACTTTATACAAGCTATTTATTTTTTAGAAAAATTGCCAAAAATGAGCAAAAGTAACAAACCACATAGTTGAGCAAATGCTTATCTTTGCACACAGACACTAATATTTCTTTATTAGTTATGCCGCTATAATATGCTCAGGAATTTTATATTTAAAACTATCCAGATATGTTACCTTATTGTTGAAAACAAAACCCTTCTTTTATAATTTTGGTCACTTTAAAATAATATATGCTAACTAAATGGAACTGAGCATGGCATTTCAAATGGCTGAGCACTTGCTCCTTGAGCATTTGTCAAGAATGGCCAAACCCATTATACTTAGCTGTCCCAGGCAGATTATTTAACAACCCAGCCATAAAAAAAAAGAAACACGTGCCCTATGTTTACATACCTGCAAAAATTATACCTGGAAGTTTGACGCAATACATAACATGGAATATTGTCAAGTGAATACTGAATGTATTTCTTTTTGGGGGACTGTTGTTTATATATATCATTGTAACACAGTACAAAGTTCGAAATCCAGGCCCATCAGAACTTCGGATAATCTGGACTTTTTCCGGATATTAGATCATCAGTTTAAATCTAGTAAGATGGCATGTAGAAATAATAAAATTAAAAATATGAAATAATGAAGAATTTATGATCTAAAGGGTATCAAAATTCACAAAAAAAAAAAGCTTAATATTTATTTGTTTACCTTATAAAACATTTCTTTCAATGTAAGTTATTTAAGTTGCTTTGTTTTTTGTGCTAATACTTTCTCTTTAATTATGTAGACAGACATAATCTCTCGTTCAGTTACATTGTTGAAGTCCTGTAACTGCCGTTTCAAGAAATCTGACCAACTTGTCAATCGATTCTCGTTTTCACTGACACTTTTTTCACTATCGGTAGCAGTATTTTCTGGATCTATATCCATACTACAGATTTTGCCATTCATTAATTGATTGATGATTGAGAAGCATTGTCATCACAATGAAAAACTTCTTTTATACCATTTTCATTTATTACCACTTCTCCACATTTCTTTACAAAATCCATTAATTGGAAAACTTTACTTTTGTTTTGCAATATCCAAAAACCTTTAAAATTAGCGGCTATCATCATTAACTTTAGCTATCTTTCACTATACATAATGCATCATGAGCTTGGTGTCCAACGGCAAGTTGTTCCGTTAAATTTTATCTTGCTTCTATCGCGCACTGATACAATTTAGCCTGAATTGTATTAGTTTAGTTATTTGTTATACTTTTCTTTATTTCTTGCACATGCTTAAGGCTTATCAGAGTTCTGAATAAATTCCCACATATACTTAAGCTTTATTGAGGGCCAGTGCTAGATATCTTGCCATCTGATGCAGTCTCTGTGAGTCCTAAATTCTGCGACTCGGTGCGGCCATACGAGACCTGATGCTGGTTCTGGGTTTATGTGAATAACAAATCAGCTATTCTTAATTCAAATAGCCCTAAATGTAATCTTTGAGTCTTGATTATCAACAAAATATATTTTTAGCATATGGAAAGAAATTTTTGGGAAATTTTAACTTAAATCTGTAATCTTCGTGAAGCGTAATGTCAACATAAAAGGTTAACATACTCCTTTATTATTCAATGACTAACATAAAAAAATTGTTTAGGCATCGCTACATGAGTCATTACTCAAGTTGTCATGTTTTGATAAACATGTGGTAGTGAAAGGAAAGTATAATAAATAATGATTCACCAGGTTGCCGTCAAATCAATGATGCATGTATGTGGAATGTTTTGGTTTGAGATGTGCATCAAACAGATATGCAGCAACGGAGCCAAATTACTGATCGTATAAATTTATGCTAAAATGGTTGTTTCTTCAATAACAAGGTATTTTATTTAGTGTAGAAGTGAAATTAAGAATCAGGACTCTCCAGATGTTTTATTATGTGTGGAGATGGGGGGGGAATAAAAATGTACATGCCTACGAGAAAACGTTGTTGGTGGTTTTGAGGTCGGGATTTTAGATCTTTACGGATAATGGACGTCCGGATTTTGTACTTTGTAGTGTATTACACATCTAGGGCTAGCTTTAATCAATAGTTAAGTGATAAAAGCATACATAAGGTCATGTTTAAGTGAAGAAAAGTTGAATCACTTTGCATTTCTCTCATGTGAAAAATGCTTTTGCTCAAGAAATACATCATCAACTTCACTTTACGAAAGATCCATAGAATTCATTCATAATAGACTGCAAACATGAAAAGTGTTCTTATTTTAATCAACTAAATAAATATTATTTCATTTGAAAAATTAATATATGTAGGGCATAATACATGCTGGTATAATTTTCTAGGGTGCTGAAATAATGCTTGAGTCAAAAAGTTTACATCCCAGGCTGTTTCTTTAGACCATATTGGATTAACCTTTCCAAATATTCCTGTATACGTAAGTCATGTAAAAATAGGGCAATAAAAAGTTTAAAACATTTTACCTTTGCCATCCTGTCAACCATTAGACGAAGATACTCTTTCTCAGAATTATTGGAAGTCAAAAATTATTCATCTATGTTTTCATTTCTTAAAAGGTAAAAAGGGTCTTATATCCAAGAAGTACCATATTTTCGACTATATACGGTATTTTGGTAATACAAAAGATGAGTTCATCAATAGTTATAATTGCACAAGCTAAACTTATACCCTATATTTATGACATTCATACCCCAACAATTGTTTAATGCATTTGTTTGGATGCACGCAGCAAGCATCTTTTCTGGGCAATTTAGTTTCTAATTTACGCTTTTTCCCCCTTTTAGAGACAAAATGCTTTAAAGTAACTTGGGATGATTCATTATGCAACTGGTTTATAGTTTTATTTCTCAAATGTGATTCAGAAGTGTCAATAGAAACAGCCTTTGATTTTGAACATTCACCTACCTCTTCAAGGCTTTTGATATTGCAACTACCATCTGGTACATCTTCAGTTTCTGATAATTGCATCAAATTTAAATTATGGTCCTTGACATAAAAATCGGATTTTCCAGCAACATTATGAGAGTGTGTATCCAAATTAAGCTCTGCTTTATTATAAGATATAGCACAATCGGATGAAAGCAAACTGTTATCACCATTAACCAACAGAGTTGCTCCTTCCTCAATATTCAATGACTGAAATGTTCCAACTTCCTTATCTTTCTGTTGTGCTTCACTTTCAGTATTCAGTTGATATGCTCCATTGCTAGTGTCTTGTTGATATGTTTCATCACTGGTATCCGGTTGACACACCTTATTCACAATATCAAGTTGACACGCTTCACCCACAATATCCGATTGAAATGTTTTAATAAAAGTTTCTGACAAGGGTTCATTATTCTTAAAATTTGACAATGAAGTACTTGTCTTAATGTCTACTAATTTACAGACTACTCTGGGAAAATAATTCACAGCACTCTGCTTTTTCTTCTTAACTGCAAGTATTAAAAAAAGAAAGAAAAATATAAAAACTCTTATAATCAAAAACAGTTTTGATTTGCATTAAAATAACTAAAATAATAAAACTTACTTTCATCTTCAAATACTCTGCATTCATTGCATAACCAGGATGTTTCACTTCTCTTTAAATTTTCGCAATATTTATGCCTGGCAGTAGATCCACAATCTGAGCAGGACACCAAATCCCAAGAACTAAAATGATTTTGCACATGTTAAGGACTTAGCAAACTTGCTAAAATGGGAAGCTAGTTAGTTTATTACATGGGAAACAAAAAAAGTAATTTACAATGTTAATGATAGTCACAGTCTTTATGCAAAGTTAATCACACTCTTTAGCTCCAGCTCCAGTGCAATCTTCAGGTAGCAAATATGGTGAAACTTAAATAATTTAATTGTAATGCAAAGATATTGATATACTGAAGCTAAACAGCTTACTTTTCTAACTCAAAGACTCATGGAATGTTTATTTTTCAGATGATCATTTGAGGGGAAAAAAATAAAGAGTAGTTAATAAATTTTACTCTCACATTAATCTTAAACTGTCATTACTAATTAAAATGGGAACTGAAATTGAATCACTGACAGGAGATTTTTCCCCATGGCTATTCATAAAATCTAAAATTTTTTTATCTTCCTATCAAAGAAGACATTTTGGTGTTAGAAATAATACCCTTTTCTTCAATTCATTTCATCATTCTATCAGTTGCAAAATCGCACAGATCCTCCAGAAGTCATTTTCTTACTTATCAATAAAATCCAATGTTCGACTTAACGATTCCATCCATCTCTGACTATAATTCTTGGGGAATTATACTATATCTTGTTAATTTGGTTTGAGATATATTGGTCAAACTAAAACAGCATTAAAATTTCACATCCCAAAAGAAGAAATATACAAATCTTTGATATCTAATGATGGCTGCAAATTTATTCACAGTTAAGGCCCGTTTCCACTGCTGTGTATGCGATGCGGTGCGTATGCGTTTCTCTAATCAGAGAGCGACTTCACTTTAATTGACATCTGCAATCCGGTTGATGTGCGGTTACAGATGACGTACGGATGGAGTTCAACAATGTTCAACTTCTATTCGTATGTCTGCGGATGCGTTGGGTCACGTGGTAAAAAAGGTGCAATCAGGTGTTGTCACCAAAAATTAATGGCGGCAGAAGTAGCGATGAATGCTCGCTTAGGGAAAGAATGTTTTGCGAAAAAATATTTATTTCTGAATTAACATTATAGCGAGAAATCTGCATGCTGAAAAAGACAGCAATCAGCTGAATTTAGTTAGATAAGATAATAAAAATAGGATAACTGCAACTACAGTACTTGTTCGCATAGAAAACCAGGCGTTCAAGAAAATCAGCGACAAAAATTATAATTCCAAGTCCACGAAATAGCAAAATTTGTCCTAACAATTATTTCCTAGTTCTACATCCACATTTACCTTTAATGAAAATTAATGTCTGTATCAAACTGCTATAGCAAACCAGATATGGCATTAAAAGATTTACATTTTCTTTTGAAACAGGTAAAAACTAAAAACATTAATTATAAATTAAATTTGATAGCCTTTTAAATATTCCACTGCATTAAAGAGTATGTTAAATTTGCATTTCTCTAGTTATAAATATACCTTTTTGGCTAAGCACATGAAATATATTTTTAGCAGCCCGTTTAACTTCAATCGGAACTCCTTTAAAAGATAATGTTTTTTGTAAGAAATGTACTAGAAGCTGAAGAACAAACTCTGGTGAATTTTTTAGACGATAGCACACTGAAATAAGACCAAAAAATTTAGTTTTAAGAATTGATTTACTTGATGATGTATATAAGCCTAAACATGCATACCATTCCCGTGTAATGCTAGCTTAGTGGTAAAGCTGGCAGTAAGACAGTTTAACTTTTGGGGTCGTGAGTTTGAATCCCATACGCTTTTTCCACCCTGTCTGCACTTTCTTAGCTTTTCCATTTGATCTATAAGCGTGTTTAGAATTAATTTATGCATTAGATATATGTTTTATTTAATTTAAGTTATTATCTATTTATTTAAAAAAAATATTTTTAAAATTTAGTTATTTATTTAAATTTCCCTGCAAAAATTTTTTGAAAATTTATCTGGAATTTAAAGCATACCCTTACACTATATTTGATTTTAACAACAATTCCTAAAAGCAAATTTAAAGTTAATAAATTTAAATGAATTTAATGCAACAAATAATGATTAATTATGTTCGACCTAAGCTACAATATTTAAATGCTGAGAGCAATGTAATCAAGTGCAAGTAAATCCATGAATAATATATAATTTATAATTGAAAAATTATTAATCCTGAAAATTTTATAAATTAAATAAAAATACATAAAAATAATAAGTGAATAATAGAAAATAAATAATAAATAAAAATACATAAGAAAATAAATTTATTAATCCTGAAAATTTATAAAAATACATACGTGAATAATAGGATAAAGATAATATAAATAAATAAAAATAAGTAAGTTAATAATAGGATAAATAAATTTTTGGAATTATATTTTATTCATGGATTTCATACTTCACTGATTACAATCTCAGAATTTAAATGGTATTGTAGATTAGTTCACAGCAATAAAGTATCATTAAGTTGTTTAAATTTTTTATTAACTTTAAATTTGCTCTTTACGAATAGAGAAGTTTGTAAATTCAAATTTTATTCCTTAGAGCAGTGGTGCAAGAGAATTATTTAACTTTAATTTAACTTTACTAATTATTCTTTAGAAACCCTGCACATTATATATATACATACATTTCACTTTTATGTGAATGTACATCCATGTGCTCAGACTTTGAAACGTTTACGGCTCTAAACTTTCATTACCAATTAACATGACATTAAGGCCCTACACATTTTTTTAACAAAAAATTACTATAATTATTGCTTTTAAATTCAGTCCTCTCCAGCAGAAGAGCAGGAATTAATTAATTAAAAATTTCCATTTTCTTACTAATGTGTGTGCATATATATCAAGAAAAAGCTTTCTTATAACTTTTTTCTATAAAAAGAGATATGAATTAAAATTTTTAATTAAAAAAACATTTTGGATTATGCATAAATATAACTGCCTATAGTGCATTTTAAAACAACGAGATTTCTAATAATTATCCAGCTATGACCCTGAAGTCAGCGGTATACAAGCATAGCAAATTGTGTGTAATATTGTGAACTTTCTTTACAGTTGCTCTGTATTTTTAAAGTACCAACTATTTTTAATTCGTTTAACTTTTTATTTTATTTTTTTAGTAACATACATTTTAGTTTTAAATATATATTATTTAATTAATATTAAAGCTTCTAGAAACGCAAAGAATTTTTTAATTTACTTCAACTTCTATGCAATTCGTGATACTATCTAAAAAATTGCTACCATACTTTTGATAGCAATTTTAGATAAGTAAGGTTCAAAAGATAGATAATAAGGTTGAGATAGCAGATAAATTGCTAGCACAGTTCATACGCAGAAATAAAAAAATTCCAATAACATGCATTTATAACAAAACTTTTCTGTGTTTAGTCTGGATCCATATCAAATCCAAAACATAATACTGCTTGACGGGACAATTCATATGTTCAGCATCGACTCGCGAACTGGTTGTTTGGCGCGCCCTAAAATGAAAATAATATACAGTGGAAACGCTTACCGTAGCGTGGGGGAAAAGCCTGAAAAATAATCCTTCACGGATACGCAAGCAGTGGAAACGCTTAATATGGATGCCGTGGGGTGTCACTTCAATTGACGCTTTTGCTATGTATGCAAGTACTGGAACGAGCCTCTTAACTTGCTTGCCCAAAATCCCAGCGTCCCTTCATTAATTCATGGAATTTCTAGCTTTCATTTCCCAAAAAAAAAATAGGCCAATGACATTAATCTCCACGTCCTGCTAATGCCTTTAAAAATTCCAAAAGCTCTTACCTCCTAGATTATTCACAAAGGATATAATTGTAAGACTTGGCTTTTGACTAATATGCTGGGAAAAAAAATTATATTACGATCTACGGGATGTTCTGAGTTCCAAGATCTGAGAAAACCTTGCACAATCCTAAGGTTTGTCTGCGGCTGTTGATTTTTCTATGCCCATACATTTAGATTGAGAGATTTTCTATATTTCAAACATTTTAAAGTGACAACTTAATGGCACTAAGCACAATAAACAATGTGCATGCCATAACGATAGTTTTGTAAAACAATCGCTGTTTTCTGTATGAATGATTGCAAAGCTTTAAAGAGTAGCTCCAGGTATTTATACTTAATAACAGTGCACTAACACAAATATGATGTGCATGTCCATCAACTAAGCATTTGTAAAACAATGCATGTTTTCTGTATGATGTTGCAAGCTTTAAAGAGGAAGCTCCAGGTATAAACTTGCAGCACTGTCAAACAGCACCACTTGTCTGTTGGCAGTTCTACTTTCATGTGAATATAGTTCATATCAATGTTTTTCATGTTCCCTGAAAATCTGTATATCCAGTTATCCAACATTCTGCCTATTCCTCAAAATTTAATGGTCGGGATTCATGATCTATATCTTTACAGGCATCAATCATTTCCCTCTTGTTCACACCCCCTCCACTGGTTTCATAAAATGAGACAGAAAGGATTTTGACTATTTTTCTTCCTAGCAAAAAGCATGTTTGAAAATTGCTATAGAAAAAAAAAAATTTTTTTTTTCATGTGAATACATATAATAAGCTATCTTTCCCTATACAAACTTGCATTTCCTAAAGAAATGATAAATGCTTTGTTTTTCTTGCATGTCTAGAAACCCCTCCTCTAAGGTTTTATTCTTACGACTATTCACCTGGATTAAATGCTAACTATCACAGTAAAGTTTATCATTTCAAGGAAAAGGTATTGTAAAAAAAACATAAATGCTTAGTTCAAAATGGTTAAATCTTATGAAAAAAATAGAAGGAATGTAGACAAAAAAGATACAATGAGAATGGATTAATTATTATTAAAAATTTTTTAGAAATATAAGTGAAATGTTTAAATAGAAACTAAAATTACCTAATAATTGTTGTATTTAAACTAAAATTATCTAATAATAATTGTTGTAATATAGAAAAGCTCAGTTGTATATTCTAATTTTGACGATGCTTTTACCTATTAATAAGCTAATCTTTTTGGCTCCCGTTCCAAGACTTAGAAGCACATTCAGCATTTGTAAATTTTGATCCTAACACCTAATTTATCATACGTAAAATTTGATTTTTACATTGCTACAAAAAATTTTAGAAATACAAAATGTGAAATAATTTATCAGTCCATTTCTGGTGAAGTAGCAAAAGCAAATACAACCACACATGTAACTGCGAATAGAGAAACTACTATGTATATTGTGAATGGCAACAGTGAAAAAAATATTGTTAGAATAATAATGTTTTAAAAAGATCAGTTTCTTAAATGTAATAAATAATTCTCATTAAAATATAGCAGAAGTTATTCTTAAGGAAAAAAAAAATGTTTTGTAAATTCTTTTGGTTCCATGGAGTTGCTGAATATTATAGCAAATACCGAGAAGTCGGATGGTGCTAATTCTTCGGAAGCTAGGAAAACCAGTGCAAAAATTCCACCTGTCTGGATAGCTAAGCCAAAAATTTGGTTTTCTTAGACAGAAGCATAATTTAAAATTAATAATATGACTAATGAAGATAAGTTTAACTACACTGTCTCGCAAATGAAACCTAAATATATAGACACTATTTGGGACATAACTGATAAGGTTAAAAATAAATATTCATTGGCACAGCATTCATTAAATGTATTCAAAGAAATTAAGTGAACATATATTAGTGATGAATTATTAAACATATATTAGTGATGAAGATACTGATAAATTGGCAATTGTGGCTCATAAGACTTATGACATACAGTCACAAACTGAAGTATATGAGGTTCATTCAATTGAAGTTAAGAATTCGAGTGTATCGCCAAATACCATTTCACAATTTAATGGAGAAGATATCTTCATTGGAATGGCAGATTAAAGAGCTCCATTTCCATCACCAGCCAAAAGCAAAAGATTGTATTAGAGGAAAAAAATAACATATCATTGTCTAGAAGCAAACAGCTGAAGTCAGAGGCATTACAACCCAGATGGCAGATTGTATTATTAACACTTTACTTTCAGATCAAGATGGTTTCCAGAAAAATGTAAGCTACCATGTAATTGGAAAAAAACAGGAAAACTTGCTGAAGCAGCTCATTTTGCTGCTGAAAATTTAAAGAACTGACGTGAATTCAATTACAGCCTTTTTGCAATGGTCAAAAAAAGGGGAATAAAATTTTAGTTGCCAGTGGTGCAGATGTAAGCCTAATTCTAGCCATGTGTAATGACAAAATAAGTTGCAACTTTAAACTATATGCTGAAATTCTGCTCAAATCCCACATTTTGGACAGAAACTTTTATATCTTTGGGACTTCGCTGTAATTTTCAATGTCCATTTGTCATAGGCCAAAGTCAGTAAAGGCATTTTGGGTGCAGATTTTCTTAAGCAGTTTAATTTATTGATTGATATTAAAAGCCATAAACTAATTAATAGTGTCCTAAACGGAGCATTATTGATGAAATTATATTGTCAGCCAAATCAAATGTAAGCAACTTAAATTTTTTTAATAAATAAAATAAATTAAAAAAAATACTTTGCTACAATTTCCAGAAATAACAAAACTTGACGTCCCAAAACAAACCATGATATCGAGCATTATATAACTACTAATGGCAAACCAGTTTATTTAAAAGCAAGATGGTTAGATCCTAAAAAACTGAAGATAGCCAAATAAGAACTTAACTTTATGTTTGAAAACGATATAAGACCTTCAAAACCACCATGAAGAAGTCCACTTCATTTAATCGCAAAAACAGATGGCACTCTGAGACCATGGAGTGAATCTCACTGGTTAAATAATATCACAGTATTAGTTTGCTGCTCTTTACCTAGACGTGAAGACTTCCATTCAAATAGTAGAAGAAGGAGGGAAAAAATCCTGATTAATAACAAAAACCATTTGGACTTTTTAAATTTAACTTATCTTTAAGTTACTTTATCTCTGTTCTAACACCAGATCTAAAAATCAAACAAACCTATATTTTTTCCCACTGTACTTTCGTCCACGAGTGCAGTGACAGGTAACAGCTCCACATTCTGGCCGATGAAGAAGTTCTCCAAATGCATTTGTTTCAAGTTCCCATGACGCATCTCTGTACATAAAATAAAAATACATAAAGTTAATCAAGAGTATTTATCACCTGAATAGAATTTAAAAAGCACTAAATACTGGAAAAAACTTCCAAAATAACCTCCGTCATACATATGGGTTTGGTTTCCTTTAGTATGAGAAAGCATGCTAAGGCTATCTGTCTAAGTGGAGAAGTGCCTTCATGGAGAACCTTTTAAAGAAAATGTCTCATATTCATGTCACACATGGGGATAAACATGAAAATTCCCATGTAGTCAGCCCAACCACCTGGAATTGAAGACAGGTCGAACTGCAACTTTATTGTTCAGTAGCTGATGCACTTTATACATAATGGTAATGGACAAAGCCAATACCCCCTTAAACAGAAGCCTCCCTATTGAAGGCTGGAAGTTTAGTGACATCACAAACTGTTGGCTATCTCGATGGAGTGCGAAAAATTATCCCTTTAGTCAAACCAAGGCCCTCTCAATGAGGTCATTCAGATAGCATTAGAAAGTTAGAGGAATTTTGTCCTTGGTCGTGAGAGGACACATTAGTGAACCGCAGCATTATTTTAGTAGGCTGAATGTCTGTGTGTTTAATTTAATCTTTTTTGTTGTTGTTGTTGTTTGTTTGTTTGTTTGTTTTCATTATGCCTTTAAAGTACTGTGTGCCTTATGCTAAGGAAATTATAATGACGGCTTGAAGTGTCAGTATACAGACATTCTAAGTGTTTTGAAAATGAATAATTTTTTCCAAATGTAAAAATCATAAGGCTATTGCAACACAGCTTACTATAGAATTATTATGTAGCGATGAAAAGTACTTGCCTTTTGAGGCATGTGAAAATGAACTCTCTCCAAGAGCCTTAAACTGTTTGTGCATGTGAGCATTAACATATTCCTTAAGAATTACTGCAAAATAATAAATAATTCGTAGCCAAACAAAGTAGAAAGAAAAGAAAAATTCAAACTTTTTATGAAGAAAAAAGGTTAATTTTATATTGAGAAACTTCATTTTTATTCATTGCAAAAATTTAATTGCAACAATATAAAATACAGATGATAGTTACAGCACAAAACTTTATTGAAAATTTGTTAAAATTTTAATTTATATGATAAATCTAGAATTTGAATATAATAAAAGTCCACATATTTTAAAAATGTAATAAACCCTTTCCAGCACACCTAAAAATTTCCCTCTATACACACTCAAAAACTGAATGGAAAAAGCTTTATAGGTTACTGTAGGTTACTTTTAACCTTCTTCATTAATAATAGATGATAGCACAACACAAACCAATCCATACATTTCAGCAATGTTTAAATTTTTAAAACCCTCATTTTCCAAAGAAATATTCCAGATTTGTTTTAGGATATAAAAGGAATTGCATGAAAAGAAATTTCTATGTTATTTTCTAGGCTGTACACTGATCTCTTTATTCTATATTAGTTTCAAAGTTTTACCTTGAAATCTTGCCTAAAATTGAATGACGAACATCTGGTGTGCCAAGAGTGGAATCACTGAAACACCAGATGAACAATTGTATTGCTGTTTCACTGCAGAATTTTCTTCAGTGAGAACATTCACAACAGAAAGGTGGGCGTGCATAGCTGTGGTGTTTTTCTGAAGATAAGGGGGTAATTTTATCAGGCTCTTTGATTCTCACAAGAGCAGTTCTCTTTTTCTCTCGCTTTCGCTGAAAGAAGTTTTGTTAGTTCTACGTTTTAATAGTTTTGAGTTGTAAATGCTTATTTATTTTTTTTATAGTTTATATTTTCTTAATTGTAGATATAAAGTCTGAATCACTTTTCTAATTGTTGATACCAAATATTGTCATCTTGTATTACATTTAAAGAAATTAAATAACGAAGAATTTGAATAAATGTATGTATGATTCTTGCACTGTGATAAAACAACGATACTTAGAACCATCAAATTTTGAACACCATAAGTCTCCACCCAAATTTCGAATTTATTTTGTTATTTATTTCATATTTTATAAAGCATTTAAGAGTTTTTAATTAAGAAACTCAACAATTTCAAAGTGAGCAATGACAACACTGGGGAAAAAAATTTTCCCCCAGTGCTAGACTGTATCGAAAATTCTAAAGGTATGCACCTTTTAAATTATTTTGCGATATTCCTGTTGAATTTTATGGTCTAAGTGTGAAGAATATGACATTTAATAAATAAAGGCAACACACAAAACATTAAAAAAATGCCCCTTTGGGCAAAATATAAAATCTGAAAGCTTTCAGATATTTTTTTAAAAAATTTATAAGTTTTTTTTATTTTTAGTTAATTTTCAAATTGATCAGAGAGGGCTTTTTTTCATTTATAAGCATGTAATCATTATATAACCAAGATGTGCTCTTTTTTTCCGGGAGGGGGGGTGTCAAGTAGCGGGCCTCTTCATGGTCTGGATAATCCCAAATCTGCTTCGGCAATCAAAATCTAGTGTTTTTTTTTAATCATAGGCAATCTTTTACTCTATTACATGCTTCCCAGCAATGCTGGCTTCAGCACTCTTATTGAAGTTCCTTTCATTCAGTAAGCTCACCAACAAAATTAAAACAGCAAGTGCTATCTTTACAACACACACACAGGCCTGATTAGATTGCCCAACATTTTTTTTTTTTTTTTTTTTTGGTTGAAATTCCAACTTGGTAAAATGACAACAGAGAAAAATTTATTTAAAAAATTGTAAATTTCATTATAAAAGGAGAGTGGTTGGAGTGTTAATGCAAGGGACGTCCGGTGTCCTTTTATGCCCTAGCACATTTCCTGACTTAATTAGGCTCTACCATGGACACTAGGGTAACGAGGATTGGAAATCTCGACTAAACACCTTGCTATTTATAAAAAATAAATTTTAATACAAGTTGTGTGTACATAAAATAAGTTTCTCTAATAGAAACTTTTGTGCTTATAAATTTGCTCTGTTAAAATTTAAAAGCTTCTAACCTCCTTAAAAATAATTTCCATATATTCTTCCTGTATATTTGTTATGCAGTTATGTGTCTTGAATATTATTGGTATGGGGGGGAGGGAATTCTAACTTTTCACTACTGCTGTTGTTGTGACATATCTCACCTTGTCTGACAGTAACTTCAGCCTAAGCCCATGAAATTCATCCTGGCAAGGAGTGCAAGAATGTGCCTCTCAATGGCAAGAGCCTTCAGCACTATACAGGTGACAATACAACTTTGCTCACTTTTCATTATTGTTACTTACTTTAAGGTCAACTATCACTGTAAAGCATTATTTTAACTGTAAACATATAGCATCATACAAAAATTAATAATTCAAAATGCTTCCAATATTATATCCGAGAATGAATTGAAAATATATATTTTGCTCTCTCTCTCTCTATATATATATATAAAATAAAAAGAGGAAATTAGCATATGTACACATCATGAGAAGAAACCATCCTGCTAGTAAAGCTTTAAAAACATGTAAACAGGAAATGGGTGACCAAATGGCGATTGCCAGCCACCAGTTTGTGATGTCAGGGATCTGGTAGCTGGACTTCTGTTTAAGATGGTACTGAAAAAGCATACAGGCATCCAAAATTACCATAACCTACACCAATTTTATAAAGATATTTATCTCACAAACATTGCTTTTGGAACAGGGTAATACTACCTTGTTTCGTTTTATCAAGACTCACAAAATTTAATTTCTGAATCATAATTTTTTAATACTATACCCCCACATGCACACATCAATCTGAGTGACAATCACATAACAGAAGATCTTTTTAGAATGAAACTTACAGCATCCTTGTTTAGGACTCTCATAACCATAGCCATCCCCACCCATTCTTGAAACTTTTCTTGCTCTAAATGCAAGACTGCAAGTGCAAGATTTTTTGATCATACGTATATTGCTGTGGATGGTTTCTTTTGTATATGCAGGATACATTAGAGCAGAGATTCTCAACAGGGTCAAATAGACCCACTGAGGGTTCATAGCCAAATATGCATTGGCAATCGATAGGCATAATCAAGGTCCCATTGATTACAAAAAAAATATTAATAGTTCATTGATATAAACCTTTATTACATAGTATGGAAGGAATCATAAAAAGTAAATATTGTGAAAACACACAAAATTCCATTTATTTTAAATGTCAATAATATTTTTTTGTAAATTTCTCATGCAATAAGAGCAGCATAAAAGAATCTGAAAACACAAAACTAATGAACCACAACAAAATCTGCACCTATTCTTTCACTCATGTCGGCTGTTAAAACTTTTTAAGAAAAGTTATGCTTGAATGACAATTACATCATCAATATGTAAGTGTACCCTTTATATTTGACAAGAATACTACAAGCTAACAGCTACTTATTAAAAAAAGAGGTTATAAAAAAGTTCTCATTTCACTACAATCCTTGCAAGTCTGCCACTATGGATGAGGCACTGGTGTCTTTCCACAGGTGTTGCTCAATCAGATTTTATTTACCAACTAAACATCAAAAGTACAGAATCAAAGTGAATCTTATGCAAAAATCTTCTCTGAGCTATTGTTTTCCAGCAATACCAAGTGCTCAGAATTTGAAAACTAGCAATAAATTACAATGGCAGCTTCAAAATTATAGAAAGACAGGTTCCAAATAGTCATTTGGGACTGCCATGGAGAGAAAATCTACCTCATCACCCTGAATTTCAAGATGTTTCAAAAGAATATAATTACAACCGAATAAATGATGCAATTATTAAAAAAAAGCCTGCCTCCAGAACTCAAGCCAGCATTGATGAAAAACTCTTTAATTGGTGCAGAAATATTTATATTTCCTCCCAATATGGCAGTAGCAAGTTATGTTAGAAAGAAAGGAAAGGTGGTAACAGTATTTTCCATGTAGTATTTTTGGGAGGGGGATGGATAATACATTTCTACATCTAAATCATGTACTAAAACGTAATTATGACCTTTATTGTGCTGTACAAACGTATGGCGAACATACATGTACAAACAAGAACTACAGTCGAACTTTTTTCATTGAGAAAATT